AACTCGCGGACAATTGCACGGACAATAATCCGCGTGATGTCCCGACCGCACTACGTTTTCGGTTCGAAAGACCGCAAGAGAGACGAAACATTCGCTCGACAACCGGCAAACGCGTGGGCCGGTGACGCGCGCGAGACGTCGCGCGTTGTTCGGGGGTGGTGATGGGGGGGGGGGCCTGTACACTTTGCGATTGCGCCGGGGGCCGAGCGATCGCTTATAAACAAATCGGAATTTCGGTACACGTACCGGCGCGCGGTCCAAACGACGCCGCCCACACTCGGTCACTGAAATCGAAAAGCCGCTACCGTCTCGCGGCGCACGCCGACTTCGAAATATTTACGGTTAGGCGCGGTGTTGGATTCGTAAATAATAATAACAATCGCGATAACACGCGTTTCGTAAATCGCGGTTCGGTTCGCGAACTGTTATAAAAATACTACCGACGGCGCGTTTGCGAACATTTATGTATGCTGCACGTGCAATTGCGTTTCCGAGAAGTGTTAACGGGGAGGTGGTGAGGGGGAACGAGTGTTGCGGACTCACCGACGGCGATAAGCGAACGTGCGCGATAATAACTGCAATAGGTAATAATAAAAAAAAAAAAAAAAAAAAAAAAAACGGATGTACTTAAATGGCCTTTTTTTTTTTTTTTATCTATAATATATATATACATAGGAAACGCGAGTTTTGTGACGAAAAAAACGCGACGGTAATCAAATCGTATAATATTATTTCACGGGTTTCGATTAAATTACCGCAGGACACGGGCCAATGGAAGCTGCGTCGTGTGACGATTGGCCGGCGCGTTGCTTGCGCGCGCGGGTTTTTATGATTCCGAATAAAATTATCTTTACGGCGCGGCAATAAAAAAAAAAACTAAATAATAGTAATAATAATAACGATAAATAAATACCTAATAGTCGCCGCGTTCCCGCGCGGAATATTATTATTGTTTTTTACGTCGAAAAAACCGCACTTTTAACGGCGCGCGAGAGATAAAAGTTTCATACGGCGGCCGCGGCGTGTGAGGTCGCGATTGGTTCCGCCGCGGGACGCCCCGTCCTTGACGGTCCTCGCGCGTTACAACGCCTGCTCCAAAAACCGTTTCGTGACGACATTTCGCGACGCGTTTGGGGGGACGAAAAAAAAAGGGAAAAAAGAGCCGCGACCCGGAGTTTGAATTGAATTTACAAGCACGGGTACTGCGCACGTTGCGCACGCTTCGAACGCCCCGTACGGTACGTCGTCAACGTTTGTCGCCGGTACACACGGGACGCCCGACGGCCGGCGCGGGAGCGGAACGCCGATGTTCGCGGCGACCGTCGTCGGTGGACGCGGCGCCATTACGGACGCTGTATCGTTGTGATGTCGCGAACACCCGTAGCGTTTGTTAGGGCCGATTTTATTTGGGTCCGTAGAGCGAAATCGAATGCGCCACGCGGAGACGTTTCGGCCGCGGTACGGCGCGCTTCGGAGAATAACGTGCGCTCGGCGCGCGCACCGTAGCGCCGGTTACCTACTACGTCGGCGAACGGATAGCGGGAAATTACCCTGGACGAAAATGGGAAATCGACCTGAAATTGCCCCCGCGCCCTGTCGCCGTTCCCCGGGACCGACGGCGTGTGTCGGTCGGTGCGCGCAATGATAGTAACATTTGATATTTCGCGAAAAACGACGCGGTCGGATTGCGGCGCCCCTCGCGGGCCGAACTCGGGCCGGCGGGACCGGCATTACAACGTACGTTACCGACAATCGCAATCGTACGCGTGCGCGCAGGTGAACGCGTCGCGACGACCGACGTTGGAACGCGGAATATTATTTTGGGTACAATGTTACGACTGTAGAAGAGGGGGAAAAAAAAAGAAAAGAAGAAAAATGCTAAAACAAAGCCGGGAAAACGACCCGAACGGCGTAACGGAAACGGTTTTCGCCGACGTTCGGCGCGGTCTCGGCGGCCGTGCTGAACGCCCCCGAACGTCATTATCGCGCGGCCCGCGACAATCGTTCGACAACGGCGTTCGGGGTCGGCGGTTCGGTATTCGACCGTCGCGCGGCCGTCGATGTTACCGCGGTAACTGTCGATCGAAAACCGAACGGGATCGCGTTCGGGTGCCCGATGTCGGTAGAGAAAAACCAAAAACACCTACGCGACACCTAACGTATCGGTTATTCCGCCGGGCATCGCGCGCGCCGTTCGCGTAAACACGAGTTGTGCGCTCGCGCGGTCCGGACGGAAAATCGTAAAAAAACGGAAAAAAATTCCCAAAAAAAACCGACCGGACTTCTCGCGGCGCCGAGAGCGTTCGCGGACCCCGCAGAAAACGACACCGTTACGGCACGCCGCCGGGATTTCCATTGGGGAAAACATTCGAAAACGGGCGCCGATCGCACGTCGATATTAGCGTTGCGATACGCAATACGCCGACGTTTCCTTTCACCGGGCGCACGCCCGACAAGTTTTTTAACGTGCGATAAACGCTCGTTCAGTTTCGTTATTTTTTTTTTTTTTGTTTTTTGTTTTTCACTATCATTACGCACGGACCCGGGTATCATCTCGTGCTCGTATAATTACGACCGTTTCGCCGTCGTCGTTGTTGGTTTATTTATTTATTTTTTTTTTTTTGACGAATTTAACGACTTAAACGTTAACGTATGGGCGCATCATTGCGCCGTGCACCTTTATAATAATAGGTACGCGCAACGGAAATAAAGACTAAAATAATATTCTAGTCCCCCGGGTTCTCTGTTGCCGGTGGGTGCATCGGTCCCGGCTTTGATTTTTGTCTAGTTAGTCCCGTATCGGCTCCCGTCGCTTACTCGGATTCGTCTCGCGTTTCGCATTAGAAACAATAATTTATTAAAACGAACTCCGCCGTCGTCGGGTCCAACTATACGGTTCCGGAGCCGGGCTGAGATGACCAACAGAAATAATGTCGGGCAAATATGCGCGCGTCTTAAATTTAACGTCTACGATTGAAAATCTCTGAAACATCAATTTCAGGTTTCGCCGCGAATAGAATGACATTGCACACCCAATACCTATGCACTTTATGTTACCTCCATTAGCGTTTCGAGTTCGAATTCGCGACCGAGTCCGCCAGAAACGCGGGCGATCGAAGTCATTTGTTTCGCACGGTTACGAATGAATGTAATTTTCAATATTTCGGTACATTACGTTTGACCGGACGCCGTACAGAATCGTTTTTCGTTCGCAATGATTTATCGTTTCGCACGGTCACGAACTTTTAACCCCCCCCCCCCTTCCCCCCAAAACTGCAGTGGCGGCCTACCCGTGCGGGACGAACTACTTTCGTTTTATGTTTTTGGACGTTCTTATAATAATTTAGACGTTTAACGTTCAAATCGTCGTAATGATTTCGGATCTTGTTGTTGTTGTTTTTTTTTTTTTTTTAATGTTTTGAAATGTTTTTGAAGACGACCTCGTCGGCGAGTTTGGCGATTACCTGAATTACAACCAAGTATTTGAATGATATTAATATTTCGAATAAAACGCCGACGAGGCTGATGCCTTCGAAAGTAAATCGTCTACGCACAGGCGTCGTGTCTCTGGAACCGATTGTAAAGGCCGTTCAACGGTTTTACGCGACGATTACGGGCTCTCGAGTCGTTTGGATCGCCGCACCGAAAATTCAGAAATAATCCCCCCGCGAATCGGTGTACGTCGATGACGTCGTGTCAGTCGAACCGATAGGTACACTCGCAGTGCGGTGTAATACTGCAGGAACACGATTGCGTGATTAAAAAAAAAAAAAAAACTAGAAGAAATAATAAATTCAAAAATAATGGGCGACGATTATATGTCACGGCAAATTAACATAATATATCATGTGAAAAAAAAAAAAAAAACAAAAATAATTCGGCGCATGAAAAGCCGACCCTAAATTTCCTGTTCACTACGCCGCCGCCGCCGCTTAGTGCCGTGACGGTTAAAAAATACATATGCACAAGGTAAAATTCGGTTTTTTTTTTTATTTTTTTTTTTCTAATAGGGATAAAACAAAGACAGGTGTGCGCGTATAGTAATTGGAATCATAATATTATGTCGACCACGTGTTGAATCGCGACCGTATATTATAAAGGCGAAAATTCGTACAGGTACCAATGCGACACGAACCGATAGGCGCGAAAATGACCGCACACGCGTTTCTGGAACGGCGAAAATACTTTGACGAAACGCTCACCGACGCGGCGATAAAAACGCCTCGTCATAATTGTACAATCTCGCGACGGATACACCATCCGCTAACACGTTTTCGCCGTTGTTTTACGAAACTCCCGGCGTTCAAAAGAGGTTTTCGGTCTTTTCCCGGACGATTTCGAAAATGCGAACGCGCGCCGGCGTCCGTGCGTTCAGAGCGATTCCATACCACGGGCGTAGCGTCGAAAACCGTTTTGTACCCGCGCGTAGCAAACTTTTCGCCTTTTCGGCGTCCGAAAAAATTACAACGATTTCGATTCCCTAATTTAGAGACGTTAATCGTCCGCTGAGGTGTGTTTTACTTACGAGTAACCGGACGGCGCGTACGCCGCTGCGATGTTGTCCTGTATCATTGTGTCCGGTTCGGGATCGGCGAGACCAGACGAAGAAGACATTGTCGACATGGGAACGCGGTCATGTCAACGACATGTCGGTCATATTACGCGCGAAAATAGTGTGGAAAACAAAAAAAAAAAAAAAAAAAAAAAAA